TTTATGGGTTTCAAAACGCGAATTTTTTATGGTCTTATTAAATTCCACAATACCTCAAGAACATTGTCCAAAATTTTCAAGTTAATCCGAGTTTCGGGGATACAGTCTTGAGAAGTGCACAAGTGCGCCGTCTTTAAAAGCATTTTTCTCAAACCTGAGTTTTTGAAGCCGGTTGGCAAGATTTCTTGAGAACTGCTCAACCTATCGTCATAACATTTTACTTTGAGATACAATTCTTAAAGACTTGGTAGAAGGATTTTTTTGTTTACAAGTATTTCAAAAAAAAAAAAAAAAAAAAAAAAAAAAAAAAAAAAAAAAAAAAAAAAAAAAAAAAAAAAAAAAAAAAAAAATCGTGAAATTTCCACTGAAATTTTAATTTTTTTGTAAAAATGCTAAAATCCAATTGTCAGTTCCCACTTATCAGGCAACCCATGTAACCCATTAAAGAAGTTGGGAAATCACTGGTTATATCGATATATCCATATTGAGCAATGAATTGTAGTTTTCCCGATATGCTTATATTATTTATTATTATTTTTTGTTTCGGTTTCGTAGCCATTATTGACCTGAATGAAACATAAACCGGTCTGTAGCAGCATAATTTTGATTATTAGCTGAGCTCTCTTTATTAAGTAGTAGTCCCGCAGTTACGAGTTGTGAGTATCAGTATAGATTCTACTCTCCCAGTAGGAATGAATACTGATAGTAGTTTCATGTACTATGTAGGAAATTGCTTTGTTTGAATTTGTCAGAAATATGGATCAGTCATTAAAGATCTATCGACTGTTCATTTAAAAAAATATGGTCCATTGATGGTTTTGGGGCAGAAATTTGAATGAATTTAACGTTTCCAAATATTGAATTTTCCATTCCATTTTCCAAGCAGCGCGGACGGTATAGAATAGAGGTTTACAAACGGTCTTAACAGATTGCACACCCTGTATAATTTTTAAAGTAAGCGTATAATTTGAAATTGAACTAACGAAAAATGATTGATTATATTTCTGAAATCATAGTTTCGCCCTCCTTTTATCAGCAACAGCGTTTTGTGCTATTACTTTGTGGTTGTCTAAAAGCCACTGTCATTGGCGACACACTTCGAACTTGAACTGCGAATCTTGAAAAATGACCTTTTCGCATTTTCGGAACTCGGCACGAATAAAATGCGATATTCATTGTAATAGTTTAACATTACCGTTACAACAATTTATCATTGTTGTAATTTGTTGAACACAAATAAATTTTTATGCAACCGCACAAATGAAAACTTTGCCGTAGGGAATCACTTTAATGAAACACCAACAAACCAGCGGCGGGAAGGCGGTAAGTCAAGGATTTTGCTAGGGCGAAAAATGAAAAGGGCATCATCATAAATCACGAATCACATTTGGCTCATCAAAAAGCATACATTTTTATGGTCCTTGACGGTGCCGCCTTCCAGCATAATTTATCATATTTAAAGAAATATTTATTTGAACCTTGAGCAGTTGCGCTAGAGTGCGCTAGCTGAGCAAAAATTATTATGGTTAATGCATAAAGGATTTGTGTGGTTAAAGTGCGGGATTAAAGTAAATATACACTGTCGCATACCGATGGTCTACATTCTGAGAATAAACTTTTACATTCTAAGCAACCAACTAACTAGAGTGAGGTTATTACTCACCTTACTTCTAGTTATTTTGTCTCTTCTGTTTATTTCTGAAGATGCTCACACAGGCCACTTTTTCACGGGGACTCTTTTTGTCGCCCAAACCGGTTTTTGTAGACGAGGAAAGACGAGAAGTGTAACGCTTAGAGGTTTTATTTGGAACGGTATATATGAAGCGCAGAAGAATTTGTGAATGTGATGGGACAGAAAATGCATAAAAGTGTGTCATCAAACCACTTCCACTAACGCAAATTTTGTCATTCTCTAGGTGTTTTGTATTACCTCATATTTTTCGGAAGGTTGTGTTAGCAGTTATATAAATTATACTGCTAGTGGATTAACAGAGCCGAGCTAGTCCCATTTAGAAGAGGAGTCTACAATTTACTCTAAACTGTTTTTTATTATAAAAAGTTTTTATTCCAATAATCTATCAACTGAGTCGCCAAATTGTTTGAAAATCAATTTCCGCCTTTCTCTAGACTCTCGCCACATATTTAAAGAAATGTTCTGCCTTCTCCGTCAGTCATATTATACATTCCAATATGTCCTGAGTTAGAGACTTAGATTCGATTGTGTCGGTTTTTAATAACATATACAGAGTCTTCTTTGCTACTGCTATTACTGAAAAAGGAACGAACTGGCGCAACTTTATAGTAATTGCAAACTAAATCTCCCCTTTAGTTCATTGATGACGTCAAGACTAACTTTTAATCTACTTTTACTTCTGTTAAACACATTTCCAATAAACTAACGGTACAAAATCTTTATTTCTATCATTCTTTAGTAGCGTAATACTAAAGGCAGCACGCTGTCGGACTTCCAATTTAGAATTTAGTGCCACATTTTCAAAAAACGTGATCGTATTTAGCGCTTGTCCAGCAGAGCAACAAGATGATCTTCATTATACTATATATCTGAAAGCTGGTTTCATGAAATTACCAACCACCGAGGCTTGTTCTCTCCTAGTACCTAGTGTTCGAGTATATATGTATGTATATATGGATTTGTATAATTGCAGAATAATAGAGAATCGGAATCCAAGCAATTTTTTATTTTATTGTCCTTCAAGATATAGTCAGATGACCGTTCTTTTTTGAATTCAAAATGCGATTGCACGCTTACAAGTTAAAATGAACTTATTTAAATTAAAAAATGAATGAATGAATATATACAGTAGAACAAATAAAAAACGAATGCGTATTGTCAGAAATTGTAGAGATGTCAATCGTGACAAATATGGTGATGACAGTATACTCTATTCAGCATAAGATTTGTTAGAATACAAACCAACTCAGCCGGGTGTTCGAAAATCCTTATATTAGTTATATGGGGCTAAGTCAATTTTTCGCCCAATTGTGTGTATTTTACGTACAAAGACTTACTACTTACTTATTATTTGTACGATATATTCTGTAACGTTCATTGAGACAACTCAAATAGTGGCTGATATAACTATATATAGCATAAAGTCACGTGGAAGTTTGAAAATCTTTATATTAGGTACATACATATAGGGGGGCTCAGGGGAGTATTTACCTGATTCAACCCATTTTTGCTACACAAAATTACTATTATCAGGTAAATTCTATTCTGTTTGAATTTCAATACTGGGGTTCACATATTCGGTAAGCAGAGTCTTGAACCATTTTAGTTGGATTTATGCAATTTTGGGTAATAAAAATGCATACTTTAAAGAAGTTTTATTCCGTTTTTATAATTATGAAATGGAATTTAAAATTGTACTGTATGAGAAGTGCGCGTGGTTGTAGTCGGGTTTCGCCTATTTTTATAATGTGACATCGGAATATGAAAATTCTGCATACTAAATTCGGAAAGTACTTATACGAAACGGCTTGTCTGGTCACGAGATATCTGCTTTCATGAAAAAGTAAGCGATACCACGCCCATCGAGAAATTTTCAAACCGGCTCCCACAACATTATATGGGGAGTGAGCGGGGTTGTCTTCCGATTTCATTCATTTTCATAAGGTCTGTAGAAGTTCTTACAATATTTGCACTAGGTAAGTTTGGTTGTTGCATTTTTAGTGGTTAAGGAGCTATGTGCATTAAACTCACAATTCTTTAAATTTTTTGTTCACAGGTACCCCTTGCTATTGCGAATAGCTTTAGGTGTACAAACCCAAACCGTAAAAATTTATACTACTTAAAGAACAAATGTTTTTTACTTTAATTTCTGAATTATGATCTCGTTTTATAATTTGCGTTAGGTATATGAAAATTTCTATAGTCCTTGAAGATCTCTTGAGAAAAGAAACTACGAAGATTGGATCAGTAGCCGCCATTTGTCGACATGAATTTTTTGGACACGAAATTTTCGTTTCTATTTTCCTAATTTATAGAATAAATTGAGAACCCTAGACTGGTCTAACAAAAAAACTTGTTGTTGATTACAAGAATCGAGTGAAATGGTTGAAATAACGATAAAATAAAATGTGAGAATTATGCAAAAATTTATATTAAGTGTGTACATAGCCTCAGTGTGTCGCTAGTTCTTCCCAGATAAATTTTTTTTGGCAAACGCCCCTGAGGTTTCAGTTTTGCAGCTCCAAAATCTTTTAATTTAAACCGTGCTCTAATTTTGATTTGATTTAACGTTTCCTTTATACATATGTATATTCTATGGAATTTTTAGATATTTAACAATAAAATGTTTACCTCCAAAGCAAATAAATTAACAAATTTGAAAATATGATATTCAAAAACACAATTTTTGATTTTCCTAACCGCATAAGTTTTGAAGTTATGCGCTGTTAAAGTTATGCGTCAAAGACACTATGTTCAAATAGTACACCATGTTGTATGCGCAACACAGAATGTAGAAAATCAATTTTGAGATATTTTTAAAATGCGTATAACTTTTACACGAAAGTTTTTGTGAAAAAAATATTCGTTTCATTTTTGTACAGCGGAAAGTTTTGTATTAGAATATTTCTTTATCAAATTTGTAAATTTACTTGTTTAATGTGAAATATCAAAAATTCCCATGCTACAGAACTTAAATCAAATTATGATTTATATACGATTGAATTTGAAAATAAAGAGTTTATTCACATTGAATCTTTAGTTTTAAATCAAAATTAAAACTTCATTAGGCTGTTGACCCAAATCAATTACAAAAGTGACGGACACCCTAATACATACTGTTTCACATAATTGCAAATATATGAAATATGAAAAAGTTTACCAAACTTTGAAATTTTAATGCTTCAAATACATGTGAGCTTTCATCAGAACTTGCAACCACATATATCTTTACATTTACTCAAATGCACATATATCTCGGGAATATGGATGTGTCTAGGTGTATTATATGTCAGAACTCTCTACTTACCGGCTGTGGCGGCGGGCAATTGTATGCGCTCCAGCAGACAGAACGCGCAGCAGATCCAAATGCAAATAATCCGCAGAAACTTCAACATGTTGCTAACGCGCGAGGTTCACTTAACGTCACAGGAAGACAAGACGGCAAATTCCAGACAAAAACTTGTGTTTTTCCCGCTACTCGCTCGCTATATTTCCTGGTTATTATTATAGCTTTTGTCTGTCTCAGCGGCGCTTGCCGTGGCTGCTTCTATAATGGTTGCTGTTATCGCTATTGTTGTTGTTGTAACACATGTATTCGGGTCTTAAACTGACAGCTCTTTTGCTGATTGTACATGCGTGTGAATGTGCGTCGCCGGTGCTTTTCGTGGCATTGCCCGTTTTGTAACTGTAGTTATTCCTTTGTTGTTATTGTTGCATGGGTTTTTGTTGCCACTTCGTTAAGATGGCGAAGTAGGTGGCGAGTGACGCTTTCACATGTGTGTGTTTAGAATGAATTTTCACACTTTTTCACACCAGCGCTCTCAATGGCTCTTCCACTTTACACTTTACGCTTTTCATTTAACTTTTTTTCCGAATGTAATTCTCGTTTTTTGTTTATTCTTAATGTTTTTACACCAGCATCGCTTCAGACATTATTTATTTTTCTATTCTTGCTGCTCGCATTCGCTCGTTGGCTGGCGCTTTTTGTTATCACTTCACTTGAAAGAGTAAACTTTTTTCGCTTATTTTATTGTTGCTTTTTGTGTTTACAGTTATTTTTGTTGCCACTTGTACTGTACTGCACCTAAAAATATACACACGTATGAGCTTACAAAAATTACGGAATCGCACGTTCCATCGCTTGTTTGGTAACACAAAAGTTTCTGCAGAAACAAACATGTGTGTGTATTGTTGGTGCCTTTTTGAAGTTCACTGACATTTCTGTGTGTGGAACTCCCACTTTTTTATAATTTCGCGGAATTTCACTGCCATTACGTAACATCAAATGCAGGATTATTCAAGCGAGATGTAAATACGTAACATAAAAAATAAAGGAGACAGAATTTGCTTTCGTTGAGTACAGCTCGTGATTTCCTCCTTCGAAAGACTGCTACAAAGCACGTCCTTGACATCTACGGTATTGAAAGCAGGGATGTGGCGTTACCAAAAATCGTCTCATATACTTTTGTACTCTTAATTCGAATAACATACCAAGCTTATTAGCTTAGACTAGGATGGACCAGAATATTAAAATCGGGACCCACACTAGAACAACATTAGTTAAATCCAACAATTTGTTCTCGAGATAACCAAAAAATACTTAGATATACAACTTTATATATACTGCACCAACAACAAAAAGCAGTTCGAATGAGTCATCGCGTGCCAGGCGCCGACAGGGCATTCTCCTTTATTGCTTTATTTTATCTTTTTCTCCAAAATTTGCGTAAAGTTTAAAAGAATACGCTTTCCCGTGAGCTCACCAGACTTAGATCATTGATGCGAAGTAGAACCACCATCCACCGAATAGTCTAGCGCAGTCAAATCAAGTGACCGTGGCAATTGGACCAATTGGCATGCAAGCGAAGCTGCAGTCTCTTCGAAACTGTTCGCTATCGAAATACCTTAATAAGTATCTACCATTTTTAAATACAGTTGAACTTCCCTAATCGCAATAATACAGTTTTTTTCGAGTTACGGAACAAATTTGTATGAAATGGACTTTGGTTGCCAACACAAGAGTTCCCGTTATAAAGAACTTCGAGTTATGGAAGTTCAACAATATATCTGTTTACTTTGAAAGCTGTTCCAACAGATATCCCTCTCGGAAACTCTATGCTCCTAAAATTGTTCTACAGGTGCGTAACATTGTTACTAGCTTTATTTTTTACCCCAAACTTTAATCAAAATGTTTTCACGTTTGACGTACTCTGATGCCAATTCGACAGTCTTAATGTAGTATTTCATGAGGAAAGCTATCGATGACTTCCCGACCTTTACTCAATGCTTGTGATGAAGTAGATTTATTTTCATAGCAAGAATCGTGAAAGCTTCACACGATATAAAAGAGGTTTGCGCACCAGTCAAATTTGATCAGATCGTCCACACATAAGTACGAACATATATAAGAATAGATACATGTACATATATTTATATTAACAAACGAAAGCCGGTATACTGGTGGATCGAAGAATAACCTCGGTAGACATAGCTAGTAGGCGCAACCAGGATGCTGTCAACGAAGGCTGCCTCAGAGAAACTATTAAAAGCGGTAAAGCCACTGGTTTTAGCAAAAGATCCTGCTTTGAAAGAAGTAAACAGTTTTTTGAACAAGTAAACATAGATCCATGGGTAACTTCTTACAAAAAATGTATGTCGAAGTTCAAAAATAATTCTCCGCAGCTAAAAACCTCATCGTTTATTAGGAAAGTTGTCGACTACTTCTACTTCTACATCTAAATGATGGTATATGATCTCGGCTCATAAATGACCTGCTACAATAGTTTGCTACAAAAAGTTTAGAGTTGGCTGAGTCGAAAGCGGAAGTTTTGCTCATATGTACAAGGAAGGCGACATTACTTTACTGCTGCAGCTGAAGTATCTTCAGACAAAATAAGCAAAATATATTATAGTCAATCTAGAATGATAACATATATCGGCTACTTTATAGCTGGCGAGCTTTGATAGCAAAAGCAATGAGTTTCGTAGCATTGTATGAAGCACCAATGTGAATACAGGCAGTAGACAAAAAAAAAGTGCTAAACACAAGCATACCGCCCACTGACATCCAGGGAGACGAATTCGCACGATTGGACCAGCTATCAGAGCCGTCTGTAGGCATAAAAAAGAGGAGAGAACCGAAAGTATCACATTTCAACAGCAACGGTGACAAACTTCAACCAAAGAATGGCTAATTCCAGACATCCATTTGTGGATACATAGACAACATGTGGTTCTAGACTTCCACATAACCCAAACACTGGGTGGACATGGATTCTTTAGAAGATATGAGTTCCCCCTTTAGTCCCTGCTCTCCGACATGTACATATATGACTCTGAGCACATATTTTTTCGATGCCCTCGTTTTTCAAATGTAAGGGAAAATTTAAAAACCTCACTAGGCGGTAGTTTTTCGGTGGAAAATTTGACAGCACTCATGTGTCAGTTCTCTGGTAAATGGAAAACTGGCAGCAAGGCGTCAGCTCTAATTATGAGAAAATTAAGACAGTATACACAGTATTTTAAGCGTCTGTGAGTCCATAGGTTAGAAGAGACGTACAGCCTTTCTCTCTCCGTTGAAGGAGTACTTAATCCGTTGGTTCCGTGTGAAAGATATGAGTTTAAAGTTTTGCACTTTCAATAAAAGTCGGTTACTATAATTTTAAATATCCAAATGAAGGGAACCTAAACTGGACTCGATTCATTATTGTGTCACATTTAAGATGTTCATTACTGTTGTCTCTGGTCCGCTGTCAATAATGTAGACTTTCTGGAGACTGGAGGTAACTTCGTACAAGGCGATGCTCGGCAAAAGCGATTCATTCTTTATTTTACAAACGTCTCAAATTGTTATCTAAAAACAGAAATGCGAAATATTCGAATATTTTGGAAACTGTTTCGAAGATTGCATATTGTTTTCGTATTTACAATTCTGATTTAAATTTACTTAATTAATTGTTACTTTCCATGTGGCTCAAAGCGCTTTTCGAATTAAATGAACAGTGAACTATGAACAATGAACAATGAAATTCAGTAGAATGAAAGAATATTCAAACATTTGAATAGTTTTCAACAATTTTTTGTGGGCAGGCAATATGGTGTTGTTGCTTGGAGAGCAACTAAAAATCAATGATGCACTATGTATCTTTTCGCAACGTTGCGTAGTACAGAGTGTATTGCTCATTTGAACATAGTGGCTAGCAACATTTAGTAAACTTGGCATAAATGAAATAATTTTGTTTTAAAAACTTGCGTCTGTTTCTGTTATTCTCCAAATATTCGAGCACATGCTCAACACAGTCAAATATTATATAGATTACAGTAGTTTTAAAGATGTATCTCCTCACTGAACGAATATAGAAATATAAAATTGTAAGAAATATTTCATATCCATATTAAAATTAAGCAACAGAACGGTCAGAAGCTCAATTTAAAATAGTCTAGTGTGAGCTCAATTTGATATTTCCATAAAACTACAGAGTTAATAAAATCTTAATTGTCGTGTTTTGGTGTTAGTAAATAATTGATTGCCTTGAATTGAATAAAATATTGTCTGTCTGTCCCTCCGAGTGCATTATGCACCAAACCACGAATATTGAACAAAAAAAAATAATAATAATAATAATAATAATATTAATAATGAGCATCGTCTTGATTTTTGAGCCGCTTTGGTATGAATGTTTTATTTGGTTTCGTCAAATACATAAACCCATATCTCATCGACGGTTATAATGCTCTCCATGAATGTAGACCTTTTTATGGTACTCTTTCTAAAAAAAAAAACTGTTTTATTGACTAGCGAGAAATATGTGTATGTAGAACTCTTTCGCCAGCTCTTTAGAACTCGCATGATGACTTTCAAGCACCACTTTTTCTTCACTTTTTTAATATTTTCATCAGTTGAAGTGTTCGAAAGCCGTCCATCTCTCGACCATCTTTGAACGCTTTGTACACCTCGTAGGCTTGTGTTTTTGACATAACATCTTCGTAAGCTTTTCGCAACGAAATTTGGTTAGAAATACAGAATTTGAGGCGAATTCTTTGTTCAATATTTGTATCCATTGTAAAAATCGCAACGCACACTAAGGTGTACCGACTTAGCAGCTGTTTTAAACAAACTGGTTGACAGCTCGCGCTCATATTTGTTGTACCAATTAAGGACAGTACTACCAACTAAAAATAAATTTTCTTGAAATATCATTTCCCCGAAGAATTTAGTTAAAATGTTACAATGTACATATATTCTCCTCTGGCGGAAAATTATATTCCCCTATCTCGTAAGATTACTGAAATGAAATGTAGATAATAGCTGAAAACTGAAACTTATGCAACCTAATGTCTAAAATGTATTAATGAATGCAATTTTCATTTATTTTGTGATATAACCTTCAGGTGCACATATCGGCATGGTTTTTAAGTAAATAGACATTTGCAAGAGTTTTTTGAAAAGTCGGAATAAATTGCGCGCGGTATTGGGAAACTTTCCTCTCCGCATTTGAAAGGCTTAGCGATCCAAGAAATAGTGACTAAGCCCTGAATATGAGTTTATTTTTCAACCCATTTTATGTGTAGCAGAGTTTAACTAGTTTTGAGTCTTCAAACGGCTTCAACTTAAAGATTTTTTTCCTCGGGGTTAAGGGAAGTGGAATCAAATTTCTCTTTATCATAAGAGTTTGATATTTTGTGAACAGAGTATTGTTCTTTAAGGAACTCACTGAAATAAGCGAGTTGGAGTTGGAGAAACATTCCAATAGTTCCATAAAATTCCGAAAAAAGACTAACGGTTCGGTAATTTCCTGATTGGCAAAGATTGCAGCGCTGTAAAATTGAAATAACAAAGTTACGACATTCAAAAATAAATTTAGGAGACTCCAATTTTATACAACATTTCACTTATATTGGTCTAGAAAAAATAAGATAGATATACATACTGTTCTACTACAAGATCACGGTAAAAATATGGTAGAACAATTGTGTTAGTAGACTTACATACAGTAACGAGTCTTTCGCTACCGAGCACACCCCACTTTTTTCACAAATTTTGTGAGATGTTCTGTTCCAAGCCATCATTAGCCATACTGCTAT